CGGCGGGCGGCCGGCGCGGCGGCGCGGCTGTGACCCGGTGAACCCATTGCAGTTCGATCATGATGGTCCGATCTGCCAAGCCGCGGCGGGGCCCCGGGGCTGCTAGCCTATCGGGGAGCCTCGGAGAGCCTGACCGATCGCTGACTCGGAGGCTGCCATCGGCCGGGCACTCGGAGTGCCCGGCCGCTCACCTCAGTGGCGGGCCGCGCCTCCCGCCGCCCCCCCCGGCATCATGCATGTCGGACCGGGCCGAGTCGGACCGTGTGTGAGTCACGCCGTGACTCTGTGACGAGTCAATGTCAGCCTACTGGTCCGTCACTGCTTCGGATATTCAGGCTGGCAAGGCTTGTCCGACGGCTCTCATCATCCGATTACGGCCCGGCTGCCCGACGGTTCACGGTTTCGGCGATGTGCAACTTGAACTTCGCGGCCTCGCAAGTCAAGTTCCGAAGTTCCGAGCCAATGTTTCGGCCGCCGGACCGCGGCGGCCGCTCCGGGCACCACCGTACTACCGTAGTACGGTACCGTGACCCCCGCGCCCGTCAGGGGCTCGAGCGGCGGGCCGACCGTCCGTCACTCCGTGCAGTGCAGTCACCTGGCCGCCGCTGAGTGCGGCGGCCCGGCGGCCGGGTGCCCGGGGGGTATCGTCGACTCAGCGATGTAGTGAGAACCCGGATCCGTCCTTCAGTATTTACAAAACTTGAAAACAACTCCGAAAAACCTGACTTGGCGCCACCTCAAAACTTTGAGGACAAAATCCGTGACGCCGCTGGTCCACGTTCCGGGCCGGCGCCGTCGGCCGCGCCCACGTTCCGACGGCGACGCCGCGCCGCGGCCCCGGGACAGCCGGGCCCCCGGACCGTACGGTGCCAGTCACTGTGACGGACTGAGCCGCGGCCAGGGCTGCCACCCGGCTCCGTGACTCGGACTCTCCCAGTGGGAGTGGCAGTCCGACTTCAATGAGAGTCAGGCCGGTTACCGGGAGGCCGGCACTGCGCATCCGGAGACTCACCGTCACTGAGTCGGAGCGGCCATGAGTCAACGGCTAGTAGGCACAGTTGGTTGCTGAGATTCCGGGCCTGGCAGAACGCCGGGCGGCGGCGGCGGGCTCTGCGACCCAGCACTCAGAACCTAGCGGCTTCTTTGAGGCCAACGCCCGGCCGGGGCCCGGCAACCTTCAGGCCCGGGCCCGGCCCGGTTCCCCGCGCCCCTCTCAGTTTCGTTCGACTCGTGACTTCTCAACCCTTGAGTCCGATCCCCCGTGCCGGACGTGCCTGGCGAAACCTTGAACAGTACTTCGTCCTCCGCCGTCAGCACTCGTCCTCGTCCTCGTCCTCGTCCTCGTCCTCGTCCTCGTCCTTGTCCTCGCTCCCCTCTTGTCCCGACGCTCTTCTCCTGGAGGCCTCCGCGCCTTCTCCAAGCCCAGCCCGCCTCCCCAAGGATCCTCTTCCATGTCCAGCGCCCGCAGCCCTCCATCCTGCGATGATACCTCATCCACTACCGTTCCGTCTTCTTCCCAGGCATCTTTCCCCTCGCATCCCCAGCACACGCCCCAGCAGGAAGCTGCTTCCGGCGATGCGCTCCTCGCCCACCCTTGCTCTAAGTCGCTTGGACTATGAGGAGGAGGCGGACGAATGCGTAGGAGCCTCCGACGTCCAGAGGTCGTGCATCATCTTAAAAAGCTTCTCCGATATTGAGACCTGCAAGCAAAGCTAAGCAGAGAGCGAGGAGGAGGACGGAGGGGAGAAAAGGAAAGGAGGGAGGAGGGGAGAGGAGAAAGGAGGGAAGAGAGGAGAAGTCCGGGGGGGCAGGCTTACATTGTAGGGCTGCGGGTCAAAGCGCCTTTTGTGCTCCTCAGGAAGAGCTTGAAGCTCTCTGCGAGAAACAAAGAAATGAAAACGAGTAATTCTAACGGAGGATGAAGAAGCAGAAGAGAGAAGAAAGCAGAAAGGATAAGAGTTCGAGAAGGTAGAGGAGCAGCGAGAGCGGATGAGGAGGGCAAACGAACAGCAAGGGCGTCATCGATACCTCTTGGCTCGATCTCTGATAGCATCAACATTCTCCACCTGAAGTTTTGTTAGACAATCACAAGAAGAAGAATAAGGAGAAGAGTCAATGAGGACGAGAAGGAGTCAGGCGAGGCGGGGTAGGTGATTGGAAAGGGTTGAAAAGACAATGACGAGAAGGGAGAGGAGGACGGGCGAAGGGCAAGGGCAAGGGCAAGGGTAATGGCGAAAAGTCGAGAACAGGGAGGTGGAGGGGGAGGGAGAGGGGGAGGGCAAAAGCGAGAGGGAAATTGGGAGAGGGAGAGGGGAAAGCGTGAGGGAGAGGGAGAGGGAGAGGGAGAGGAAAAGGGGAAGGGAGAGGGAGAGGGAGAGGGAGAGGGGGAGGGGGAGGGAGAGGGAGAGGGAGAGGGAGAGGGAGAGGGAGTACCAGGGTTAAAATCTTGCCATCCCAGACGCAGGTCAGAACATCTTCGACTTGTGCTGGAGTGAAGCTAATTCTCTTGCTTGCATCCAGAGGGTGACAGCAAGTGATGGCCTCCCCCACCTGTTGCAAGTTGAGTGCGAGAGGAGGACGCGCAAGGGAGAGAGCGGGCGAGAAACAAAAGGGAGGATAGTCACAAGGATACGGGAGAATTGGAACGAGGGAAAGAGGAGGAGGAAGCGAAGGCGGAAGAGGAGAGAGGAGAAGAGAGGAGAAGAGAGGAGAAGAGAGGAGAGAAGAAGGGCGGAGCGGGGAGGGAGGGTGTGAGAGGGAAGAAAGAAGAGGGGGCAGGAGAGGGAAGAAGAAGGGCGGAGAGGGGGGGAAGGAGAGGCGAGGAGAGGAAAGGAGAGGAGAGGGGGGAAGGAGAGGCGAGGAGAGGAAGGAGGGAGGGAGGGAGGGGGAGGGAA